TTCAGTAGATTTGTTTTCTATTTATTTTTGATTTAACGTTTCACTTCCAGTCAACTTCCAACTTTTTAACCGGAAGTGATACAAAAAATGAAGTATATACTTGTTCTCGTCTTAATGAAGCGTGTCGAATAATATATCGCTTGTGCTATATCGGCGACTTTAAAGCAGAACTTTCGTTTGCAACTCTGAAACCGGAAGCACAGTATAAAGAGACCGGAAGTCCGATGTCAAATTTCAAATTTCTCACCGTTAATACCATCGTTGGGTTATAAACTCTCATTCGACACCTCAATCGTCATTCTATCTGTTATAATAACGGAGAAGTTGCGTTTACAGACGGACCGATAGACATAGACTCTTCAAGGTTTCAACATTTTAATGTTGAAAAATGGATGAAACCAATATTATTTAGCTTGTTTGTTAGCAATGTTAAAACGAAGTTTATCCACCTATTCCTAGATTTTATCCACCAGCAAGCTTGATCTTTAAGCATATTTTTAGGGGTAAATCCCTAGTCTATTTTAAGTTACGTATAAAATACCTTTCTAAAAAATTCCTTATTCATTTTCTACTCAATAATAAACACGTACCGTCAATATATTCTTTATTAAATATCCTCAAAACCTTGGTAGTTTCAGTATTTCATATGGATTCTTACTGAAAACACGTTAGCCATGAATATTTAAATGCTTTTTATGAAGCCAGAAAAAGAAATTTTCCTGTAGTGAAGTGAAACGAAAGGTATTTATTAATTTTTTTACTACAATAGCTTTAAAAGTTAAATTTCAGATTCCATATTTATATCACAATGTTAAAATTGTTAAACTTGTATTCCATTATTTTCTTTATCGTTATGCAGTATATACAGTGTGTGACCAAATTATTAGGGATAGATTTTGATGATTTCTTAAAATGAAAATAATATGAAAAAGACAGTAAAGATTCGATTTCACTTATAAAGTGTCTATGTATCTGTTGATACGTATTTCGACCTAATAGGTCTCATCAAAACAGTTATTCATAGGCGTTCTCAAAGTGAAAAATCAATCTTCCCTTTATTTTAAGAAGCAACACCAAAATGGCTTCGATATGGACGCAACAGTGACATCTGATAAGAAATCCGTAAAACAAAATTCGAAACGCAATTCAGATTTCTGCTTTAATCTGTGCTTTCTAAAAATTGCAAAGCAAAACAGACGTTGATGAAGGTGTTAAAAGAGATATGGGGAATCTAAAATTTGCATTCCACGACATATCTTTTCAACTAAGCAAAAATCCTTAATGTAATATTTTTGACCAGGGAACCATTCTTTGAGCTAGGGAAGTAGCCGAGTTTCAAGTATTCACTTATACTGGTCTTGTCTCATTGTCCCTTCCACGATGTATAAGCGTCCCAATAGCCTTGGCCGAGATTACAGACCACACCATGACACTAATTGGATGTTTAATCCTCTCCACAATGCAATCTGGATGGAACTGCTCTACAGGATGTCGTCGGACGAATGCACTTTTGTCCACCAAAATCTGGAATGTTGATTGTTGATTTGATAAAAAAGTCTCCAGTCTTCAACAGTCATACTTCGGTTCTGCTTGGCCCATTGGAGTCTCTTTCTCTTCATGGCTTCGGTGAGCCGTGGTTTTTTCATAGGCCGGTGACCTTTCAGATTCTCTTAGGTCAGTCTTTGTCGCAGTGTTCTTCTGGAAACATTAATTCCTTCGGTATTTATCATCGTAGTCAGACGTGCCACACTCTTTTTACGATTTTTGAGAGAAATGTCCCTGATTTTACAGTCAGTACAAGTAGTGATCTTTTTTCTGCCACATTTTCTAACACGGATCAGTTCCAATGCCTGGTTTGAATCAATTTTTATTTTAATTTGATTAACTAGACTTTGAAACACCTGCAGTAGTTGCTATTACTCTTTGGGAAAGTGTAGAGTGCAGTAACATAATTTTATTTCTCTAATTTTACCTAAAGACAAGTCTGCAATTTTTCCCATAATAATTTGGCCATCCACTGTATATATACAATATTTATTTCCTCCACAGACATGTATTGTCTGTTTTTCACCGTGAATTTTTTAGCCCCATTCTTTTACTCGTATTTTTTACATTACATTTAACTATCTAACCTCCTCTGTTTTCCTATCTAGTTGTGTTTTATTTATCAAAATCCACATATCAAATGTGATATGTGGAGACATGCCACAATATATTTTTGTAGATGCTTCCTTTTATTTTATGTAGATGTAAAGACACTTCCTTTTACTCTATTATTTTGTTGTGATTACCTATGCATATAAACATAAAATTTATCTTACAAGGTCTCCTAACCTGAACCCTTACATAATAAAGCAAAACCACAAAAAGTATTGAGTACTAATTGACAATGTAAACAAAGAACCATAAATGTGTATCAAATATGGAAAAAACAATGCAATATTTGTCTAATCAAGAAACTATTAAAACTAATTGGAATTTATATTTAAAAAAATACCTCATTAGTATCAAATTTCAAGTCAATTATTTCAAACTTCTTAATTAAGTCACTATTGACCTCTATTTGACTTGTTCATTAATCATATTTTTATCCATATAATGTCGTAGAATAATTTATATGTTTTAGCTTTAAATAAAAAAATGTACTGCAATTTTGATATATCTTTTAACTAGAATATTTAACAAGATTGCATACAAACAGTTCAGCTCAATATTCTACCAATCATTGGTTTTTTACAACAATTTTTTAAATTATTGTTTGCAGAAAATATAGAAGCATGATATCAAGTACTCCCTGTCAAAAATTTGATATTAAAACAGAGGTAGAGAGGTATTAAAAGATAAAAAAAAGCAAAGACTAAATTGAGGCTATAATACACATAATAATAATAATACCTGGAACAACACATGCAGCCAAAACAATGACAACAAAGACCTTAATAAGACCGGTTTTGATATATGGGGCTGAAACATGGACCTTATTTCAAAATGATAAAAGACTTCTTGGTATTTTTGAGAGAAAAATTCTTAGAATGATTTTTGGGGCCGTAAATGAAAATGGGCTATGGGGTCTAAGATACAACTTTAAACTATATAAGTTATACACTGATTCCGATATTGTGAAATTGGTTAAAGTGCAGAGACTTAGATGGGTTGGACACATAGCTAGATGTCAGATCACAAATACAGAAAGAGTTTACCATTTTCAAAACCAAAAGGCACAAGAAGCAGAGGACGACCACAAATGAGATGGATTAATGATGTGGAAGATCTACAAATTCTAAGGGTTAGAAGATGGAGGAAAGTTGCCAGGATGCAAGTATGTCTTGCATGGCACATCTCTTGCCTAACCTGTTTACATCAGAGATATATCTGTGCAATTTTTGATACCACTTTCATTGTTGCCAACAAAATAAAGATACCAAAACATTAACTTTAGATATTTCACCTGAAAATTTCAGTTCAGCATTAAATATATTAAAATATAAATATTAAGGTTACATTAACATGGAGATCAGCATCATTTGATTTTCTAACTTTTTTCTTTTTTGAGAATAATTTCCGGATTGGAAGTAGAAACGTCACAAACTAACAAAAATTTGATTATTATAACCAATTATAGCTTAATCCCATCAAAAATATCATTGTCAACATAAAAATGTTAAATATTCAATAAAATGATGGTAATACAGTCCTTGTTTAAAAAAAAAAAATAAAAATGGCCAGATTTTCACTGAAAAGTCCCGGGTTTCAGGTATTTTTTTTAGCCTTGTCCTGAATTAGATTGAATTGGAGTTGGTCACACTACTTATGATGTGTAAGTTGTAGTCCAAAAATATTTATGTAACTAATAATCAGAAAATGACTGCCATTTAAAATTTTCTTGCACAGCTGGAAATCCATAAGTAAAAGCTTGAACTAGTAGGATAGCTAGTTCAGTTAAAATATGAAACAAGATATTACAGTAAAGCTAACAGCATTTTTTATTTGTTTCATATTTCTTAGAGAAGAAAGTGATATAGAAGAAGAAATAACAAGATTTTTATAGTCAGATTTAAATATGAGTAACAATGAAAATGAAACATTTATAACTGAAAAATAACCACATTCCTAAACACAATTTCTAAATAATTTGTTAAAAAGATTCTAACTAATTCTCTTCCAAGTTTGCAGCAGAAAAGATTATTATTTTACTTTATTGCATTTGCAAGTTTATATGTCCATTTAATATTCCATAACTGATTTCTCTCCATCACTTACGTATAGTAGGCATATAAGATCACTCAATACAATTTTTATTGTAGAGCTAGTTCAATAATGGATCAGCCACAATATGTTATAAGCAATTTAAAATTGTCATTCTCCTCCTTCGATTTGAGATCAGATGAGAAATCATGAGAATATTATATACTGTTTTGTATGTATCAGTCTAAATCATAATTACATATTTAAGTATATATTTTAAAAGTAAAACAAATAATGAATTATTCCATTCATCATGTAAGTAAAGTAGCCTTGAAAAATCATTGAGATTGTATATATTTAATGAAAAATAGAAAGATAAATTTTCAATAGCTTCTAAAACACATTTATGTAAACATTCTAGAATTCTGTACTTGTTTATTTTAATAAAGACATATTTAATATACATTATTTTTAGGATATTACCAAACAGTTCTTTTTTTATTTAGTTTAAACATATTTTCACCGAATGTGTGCAACTGCAAATTGCTGTCTACATTTTAATGCATACTTATGTCTCGCACATGCAATATATGACTAATCAATTTGTATGTTGTTATCAAACCTAGTGTAGAATTTTCCAGGAAACATGAACGATTTAACAATTACAACAATTAAGTAAAAGCTCTTTATGAAGAATGTACTTTCTAGAATAGAATGTAATAGATGACACGACTCACGAATTTGCAGGGAAATTGGCACAGGGGATAACCTCATGGTCATGGCTAATTGGTAATAAACTTGACCTAGTTACTTACCTCCGCATATCCGTGGTGGACCCCGTGTTCTCTGAGAGCATAGGATAAGTCATGGATATCAATTCTGCCGTTCCCGTTTTTGTCCAGGGTGTTAAACAACCTTTCGAACCGTTCCTCATCCTCTGGAGGTAATTCGTGGAGGTTAGGGGAAGAGTTGTCAGGAACTGACTCTTCTTGATTGTTGCTCTGCATGGCAAATCACTAAATATATTTCCTCTCTGTTATGCCGACATTTATAACTATAGTTTATTCTAAATAATCACAGATTTTTGTACCACTGCAATGCGACTAGTAGGAAGTGATATTTGACAACTGTTTCTGTACCCGTTAAAAATCTTCTGGTATTACATCGCCATCTATCACTCGGAGGAGAATATAACAATTTTTACTGAAAGAAATTGATCACCACAAAAATTAGAAATCTTTTATTAAATCTCTACTCAGAAAAATCTTGTATCTGTGTAATCACCAAGTGTGTAATAAAGTAAAGATGCTATTTTGACAATAATAATTATAATTGTGATTTATTTACAATAGACAACACACAATACACGTCATTTACAAGGACGCAATGTCCATTTAACAATAATAATGTTTTCTACGTAAAATAGTTTCTACGTCCCAATATAGAAATTTTTATAGTCCTGGAATTTATTAAAATAATTATATCGTTACTTCAAATAAAAGCATAATCATTTCTTTTAAATTTATGAATATATCATTAGGTTTATTCTTGACTTTAGGTAAAATAACATAAAACTTCCTGAACGGTCCAACTTTTGTCACAACTTTTGTTTTCTATGACTAGAAAATTATGTATAATCAATATATCTAATATATATTTACATGAGATCATCGAGCAAAAAGATAAAAGAGGGAATGTAAAGGTAGTGGGAACAAAAATATTGTTAGACAGGAAGTGCCATCTTGAGAGGCCACTTTAAACAAGGAAAGACAGTCTCTTTCCTTGTTTGAGAAGTCAAATTTAGTTTGGTTATGTTATTGTTTGTCCCAACTGTCACATCAAATTTTATTTATATTGAAGTTGTTTACCAATTGTGTCACTTTTTAGACTATTATCGTTAATATTTAATTAAAACTTTTTTCTCTGAAAAATATTTTACAGCTATTGTTAACAAGTGTTGAAAAATTTAAATTTGGCGCCTTTGCATTTCCGGATATGTCCGCCATCAGAGGCCACTTTTTTGGTCTCTTTTTCCTAACGATTAGATTCCCTCTTTTATCTTTTTGCTCGATGCATGAGATCGATCAATGCACATTGATATTGAAGCGATACTAATATTTATTACCACTGGATTATCCGTTCCAGTGGTAGCTTTCGATGACAGCAATATTTTAAAATTTTTTGATAGGCATCTGCCTATAAATATCATGCAGACTAGAATAAACTATTTGATATGTGCAATTTTTTCTTCATAAAACAAATTTCTTATACTTGTATTAACAGTTCGGATAAGTTGATCTATACTTTGACTAAAAATGTTAAAAATCGTCATTCTCGAGTATAGTTAACAGAAGAAGAAAATATCTAAATAGTTAGTAAATAATGAGATACCTCTCCTACCATGGGTATTCCTATCTCTTATAGCTTCGTCTAAGGTACCATTATTTGCAAACCTAGCTAATTACATTCCTCACATTGCTTGTCTTTCGAAATTTGGCTTTTCTAAATTCGCTGTCCATCTTCTGGCTGTAGATACTGCTGTTCTCCTCCGATACACATGTAGTTATTTTCTCCATATTCCTTTCTAAACCCCATTCTTTATATTCTTATACGAGTTTTTATGTGACTTTAGTTCATAATATTCTTGTGCCAACACTACCTGATCATTTGCATAACACAGAGTGTCAAGTTCGGTGTTATCTAGGGGGATTCTCATCACATCACACGGGATTTCCTTTTCCATGTTCTTAAAGCCCTTTCTAGGCATGTCTTGAAAAATGTGGGACAGGGGCTGCATCCTTGCTTTAACCCTTTTATAACTGTGAAACTCACTCACTATACTCTCACCGACCTTATTCAATCTATACTCCGAAGACATTATAAACACAGCACTTTCGGATCAAAATATAGGTATTAAGATAAATGGCATCCGAATAAACAACTTGAGATATGCCGATGACACGGTACTAATCGCAGAAACTTGGGAAGATCTTCAAATACTAATTAACAAAATAGTAGAATGCAGTGAAGAACACGGATTATCACTTAACATAAGCAAAACAAAAATAATGCTAATATCTAAATCACCACAAAACTTCCCTGACATAACCGTGCATGATCAAAGAATCGAACGTGTAAGAAGATATAATTACCTGGGAACTGTTATCAACGAAAATAATGATTGCTCTGAAGAAATCAGAACCAGAATAGAGAAAGCTAGAGCCACATTTACTAAATTGAAAAAGGTGTTCTGCGGAAGAGATCTAAGTCTAAAACTTAAAATTCGCCTTTTGAGATGTTACGTTATGTCAGTTCTCCTCTACGGGATGGAAACATGGACATTGAAAAAGATCGATACCAAAAAGATAGAAGCATTTGAGTTGTGGATGTATCGTAGAATATTAAGAATACCCTGGACAGAGAAAGTAACAAATGTGGAGGTTTTACGGAGAGTGCGGAAAGAGAAAGAGCTGATACTTACTGTTAAAAAGCGCAAACTACAATATTTGGGACATGTTATGAGGAGAGATAAATACCAGTTGCTGCAATTGATTATACAGGGAAAGATAATGGGAAAAAGATCTACAGGAAGAAGAAGGCATTCATGGTTGAAAAACTTGAGAGAATGGTACAATTGCACCAATTACCAACTGTTTAGATCTGCAGCATCAAAAATACGCATAGCTTTGATGATAGCCAAACTTCGGAACGAAGACGGCACTTGAAGAAGAAGAACTGTGAAACCTTGAGCTTTTCCATCACAACTTTTATTTTTGCCTTAGTATGATGATATAGGTTTTTAATTGCTTTAATTATCTTGGTTTTTTTAAGTGCCCTCCTCAGTTTATGGAATATAATGCTTTATAATTTACTGTCATTTGCCCTTTTCAAGTACACATAGAGCAAATGAACCTCCTGATCAAATACTACCATCTTTCCAACTAATTGGGTTACACAGAAAAGGTGGTCAATCGTGCACCTTCTTGTTCGTTGATTTTCATATCTTTATACTCCCCTTCAACCCGATTTTTAACGATCTTTCCATATAATCTGCTAATTGTGCTAGTAATCGAGATACCGCGGTAGTTATCGCAGTCACTTCTGCTGCCTTTTTTATGGATCGTCGAAATTATACAGTTTTAACTCTTCAGATACTTCGCTTCTGTTAATGCAGATCTGAAATAGTTGGGCGAGCTGATAGTACAACAATTCCGATCTGTATTTGATAATTTCTGCAGAAACATTTCCCACCCATTGTTCTCAAATCTGACCATATATTATCTCTCCATCGCATTCGTGGACGTCCTAAGGGCCTTCTCCCTGTCGGGACTTCTTCCCAGATTAACTTGGTAAGGCGGTTATTAGGGAGCCTATGAACATGGCCAGCCCATCTTAGACGTTGGGATTTAATCTCTTGGACTACGTCGCTAGCACTAGACATTTGTTTGACCTCGGCATTTATTCTCATTCGGTATTGGTTAGTATTCGGATCGTGATAGGGACCGAAGATCTTTCTGAGGATTTTTCTCTCAAAGCATCTGAGTTTACTTTCCATTGCTTTTGTCAGCGTCCACGTCTCTCACACCCATACATGAGCACCGGTCTAATTACTGTTTTATATATCCTGATTTTTGATGTTCGTGTTAGGCTCTTGGATTTAATAGTGTTGTGGAGGCTATACATACATCTGTTTGCTGCCTGAATTCTCCCTTTTATCTCTTCCGTGATATCGTTATCTGTGGTGATAGTCGCTCCGAGATATTTAAAACTCTCCACTCTTTCAAAGTTATAGAGGTCTATTGTTACATTTTGTCCTATTCTATCTCGTCTCTTTTGTCTGTTAATGCACATATATTTGGTTTTCTCTTCATTGACCCTTAGACCGGTATTTTTTTTGCCTCTCTCTCCGATTAACTTTGGACTTCAAGTATGTTGTACCCATGTGTATTGAGCAAAGCTGGAAACAACCCTTAAGAGTTTTAAATTCGTCTTGTTCACATACTGTGATTAGCCTTTTTCCGTCATCATTGGTAATGATTTCGCCAAAAAAACCTACTACGTTATTTCTCCTTTTCCATCCAGTTTGGCTATTTAAATCACTAAGTAATATTAATTTTCTAGTATTTCCTATCTTTGTCATTTCTTGATTAAATTGTTTAAATAATTCTCCTTTGACATGGATAAGTGAATCGTCATTCACTCCATATACTTCTAGTATCATTACTTTATAGCTGTATAAATTTAGATTCATTTTGATAATTCGTTCTTTAACAGCTTCCCAGGTTGTAATGAATTTCCATATGTACTTCTTTTGATGAAAATAGATACTCTCAGATTCAGAAAAATGGTCGTACCCTTGTATTTTATTTTTGCTTTCTGTGACACCCATAATATCCACATTTAGTTTTTTTGTTTATTATTTAAATATATAAGTATTAATTTTGTTTTATTGCTTTTTAATAACTATTTGTAACCCACAGTTAGGCATTCGTCGAATAAGTTCTAGCGTAATGATTTTTCACGAACTGTACTTATTATCACAAGTGCAGAACAATATTGTAATAATATCCATAGCGTATAACCATTATTATTTGTTGATATTTGTTTGATTACTAAAAATGGACAGAACACGTGAAAGAAGCAACAATGATTTAGAGGAGGAAAAAGGAAATTTGATTTCAATAATTGACAAGTTGAAAGACATTGAAAACAAAAAAAAAAAAAAAAGAGAAACAGATCAGTATCCAACAGAAACATGCGACATGGGGGGAAATAATTTTTTTGATTGATTGATTTGATTCCAGTAAAGATTGCTAATATTTCTTAGATCACAGGTGTGTATTCCAATAATTGTTAATATTTTCATCAGCTTGTCGTGTGTTACTGTATCAAATGCTTTATGGTAATCAATGAAGCATGCATAAATGTCGCAATTCACATCCCTACATCGTTGAAAAAGCACTTGAATGCTAAAGAGAGCCTCTCTCGTACCCACTGCGTTCCGAAA